TGGCTGCATTTATTAGATTGTATTGATTTGTCAGCAAACCCTGTACGGTTTTTAATGAAAATATACGTGTCTGGCTTCATCTGGAGGGGGTAATGTTTGGATTGAATCCATTTCTAAGCCTGTGACTTTAGCAGAAGAAACAGATAAGTAAAATTTCCAGATATTTTTAAGATCGGGAGAAGGGAAATGAAGTATGGTTGGGGTTTTTTTGTTTTGTTTTTTAAAAAAGTCTCTTCCACAGGAAAAGGGAAAATTTGAGAGGATAATTGAAACATCTGCAGTAACTGTATGGAGCTAAGCTTTTTTTTTGAGAAATCTCAAGAATGAGATGAGGCAATCTATTTAGCACATGGAATTACTGAGAGTACGTTCGTAAGAGCATTATAAATTACTACAGGATAACGGTTAATATATCTATGTTTAATATATAGAACTGTGCTGCCCATAAAGCTGTACAAATGCGTATTTTGTTTGCTGACATAGCTGTAAAATACAAAAGAATCTCTGAAAGTAGAAAGCATCGATAACACTAACTTGTAAGCAAAGTAGCTGGAAAATTCTATCCGCAGTGCTCAGGAAACATATGTAAATTGAAACCTAATGTTCTAGTGTAGATAGAGAAGGAATTCATATTTCTTGAGAGAAACACAAGAAAATAAGAGTGACACCCTCATATATATATGTGTATGTGTTTTATTATATAGTAATTTAAAATGACACAGTATTAAAGACCGGCTGTAAATTTTCTCTGCAGTATATGAGAGGTGATTACCTTGAGCTGTAGGTTGAAAAATAAAGAATTAAAGTACTTTATTAATAAACTGAAAGCATTTGGAAGGATTAAAGTGCAATATTACTCCAAACATTATCTTATTGTTCAGGCAGAAAAATATTTACAGTGTAAGTGGGTTTCAGTTTTTTCCCCCCTTCATGATTTTTTCCGTTCCAGATTTTTTCCTCCCTCCTTTTTCACACTGTTTGTGTTTTTTCCTGGAAAGTCTTTTTTTGTTGTAGTCATGTATTTCTGCTGAATAAATCTAAAATTTGAAAGGAGATCCCAAAAACTTAATATTTCCCTCCAAAGCCTGTATTTCTGCTAAAGAATCTTTGCAAAATAGTCACCTTCCATTAGCTGATACCAACATTTAGAAATGTTGCAATTTTTTTTCATGATGTGAACTTATTTGTCCAACTTGCTATGCTGTTGTCATTGCCCAGGTGGAAAGTGTCTCTAAGGACATTCTCTTTGCAGCTTACTCATCCTTTGGCAGCCCTGTTCCTCCTGTGCTCTGCTGGGAGCCCTGGCTGTGTCTTTCTCTCAGCCCTAACACTCACCCTAACTGAGGAGTGAGCCCTAGACAAAGCCCCCCAGCCATTAAAAATTTCTCGCTGACAAGCTCCCTGCAGCTTCCTTTGGGCAGCCCTTTGTCACATCAGTGATGATGAATACATCAGCAAATAGGCTTCTGCAGGAAAAATAATTAAATTGTTTCACTGGGCGGAATTCCAGGGTCCAAAAAAAACTTCAGAAAGTGGACTTTTTTCAGAATAAACATAGGGCCTTTTGGCCAGAAATGAATAAGGTGTAAGCAGGGCGAGGTGCCACAGGTTACAGAGGTGGCCCTCAGTGGTGCATGTCCTGCCAGAGGTCCCAGGTGGGCACCGGTGTCATGGAAGGAGTCAGCCGAGACCAAAGCAGACCCTCCTAAGCTGACATCTGTGCGCTGCGTGAGGCCTGGAAGCTGCTTTGCTCTCTGCGGCAGTGCCACAGTGCTCTGCTTTTTACCTGTTGACATCCACAGCTTTTCAACTGCAGTTAATGAGAGCCCTTAGTACACTGTTTGTGAGCGGGTTCAGAAGGTCACATGCAAAAGTGCCTTGGGTTCCTGTCTCCACGTGGCCACCTGTGTGCAGAATAGCAATTTTAGCATGTTCCCCTGACAAACAGGACTGTTCAGGTCAGCTCTGATTCCTGTGCTGAAATTCTTAGGACTGGTTAATAGTAGAGTATTGAAATTTTTTTATAGCTTGACTCTACTGCATGGATAGCATTGCTTTTGGACTCTGCTAGAGCTAGTATAGGTCAAAGCCTTGTGAATTGGATAGGTGGTTCAAACAATACAGTTTCATTCCATGTGTTGCTTCTAAAATGCTCTAGTTTCGTTGTGTAACTAATTTGAAAGGAACATTAATTCTACGTTATTTTGGGAATAACACCATACTCAATACATTTGGGTTTGAATTCTGAAAAAAAGTCACCTGTGAGCAGGGCTAAATTACCTTAGTTACAAGCATGACAATTTTTTTTCCCTTGTATGCGCTATACAATGTTTAACCATTATTGCTACTAACAGAGCTTACCATTGGTGAATTGCATGGCCATTCCTCCTTATCACAGAATCACAGAATGGTCAGATTTGGAAGGGACCTCTGTGGGTCATCTAGTCCAACCCCCCTGCCGAAGTAGGGTCACCTACAGCAGGCTGCACAGGGTCTTCTCCAGGCGGGTCTTGAATATCTCCAGAGAAGGAGACTCCACAACCTCACTGGGCAACCTGTTCCAGTGCTCCATCACCCTCAGAGTGAAGAAATTCTTCCTCATGTTCAGACGGAACTTCCTCTGCTTCAGTTTGTGCCCATTGCCCCTTGTCCTGTCCCTGGGCACCACTGAAAAGAGTCTGGCCCCATCCTCCTGGCACCCACCCTTCAGATATTTGTAAGCATTTATTAGGTCCCCTCTCCACCTTCTCTTCTTCAGGCAGAACAAGCCCAGGTCCCTCAGCCTTTCCTCATAGGAGAGATGCTCCAGTCCCCTCACCATCCTCGTAGCCCTCCGCTGGGCTCTCTCCAGTAGCTCCTCATCTTTCTTGAACTGGGGAGGCCCAGAACTGGATACAGTACTCCAGATGGGGCCTCACTAGGGCAGAGTAGAGGGGAAGAAGAACCTCCTGAGCTCGACCTGCTGGCCACACTCCTCTTAATGCACCCCAGGACACCATTGGCCTTCTTGACTGAACTCTGGATATACATTAGAGGATGCAGATGTGTGTTTTTTAACGCAGTGTCTTGAAAGTACTTACATCTGGCTCATTTAAGACAGGTAAGCCGTTTTAGCAAAACATGAGTTAATGTTTTAATGTGGATGAAGTAGCCATGATGATGGGACAACAGCCAAGCAAAGGCACCTGTTTCCTCTCTGTTGTATAACACCGCACTTCTTTCACATCGTGAAGAAGACAATGTCCATACAGTCTTGTCTTGACTTGAGAAAAGACTTATTATGGAAGTTCCCCCTACTAACCATAGCACGGGATGTGACTGGTGAGCCTGAAAGGCTTCATCTTTCTTCCAGGCCCTTTTTGCTGAAATCTTGCCAATGGAAAGATCTCTGTCTGATATTACAATGGCACTCAGCCCCAAAGGGTCTCAGAGCTTGCCTTACGTGAACTGAGATTCCAAAGCAAAAGGAGTTTCTTGAATTCAGCCCCAGATTTCATTAATTTCAGTATTTTCCTACCTGGAAGCTTTTTGCATATGAATTCTCCACCACAGCAATGCATCCAGAGATGTTTCCTTACTGGTAGGATGTATGGTGGTCTTTCCAGTCCCTCAGCCTCAACCTAGCTAGTTGCTAACAAGTAGGACTCTCAAGTGGCAAGTTTTTCTTTTGTTCTGGAAAGAGAAGTACAAGTGGAGAATGTCACAGAGCAACATTTCCTGCTTTTTATTCCCTTCAATAGTACCCCAGTTTAGTGTTGCTTCTTGTTGTAGGGAGGATGCAGAGGTGTGCTGCTCTCTTTGCTCGGGGTGGCTTACACGGTTACCTGCTTGTGTGTGTCATGAACGAGACAGTGTGATATATGGTGACAGGAGGCAGGTCCATCATCCGGAGCAGCAGCGCGAGGGCGGGTGTGTGGTACAGCAGCTCATCGGGAGGCCGTGGTGGTGTCCAGGCAGTGGTGTAATGGCAGTGTCCATCGGGAGTGAAAAAAGATGTGCCTTGCTCCTCAGCTGGTGGAAGGTTGAAAGGTGCAACTTTGACCTGGTTACCCATTACAAACAAAAGCTGGAGGACGAACGAGGGAAAGATTTTTTTTTATGCTGAATCCTTTCAGAGGGACAGAAGGCTTTATTCTCTATCAGTATGATCTCTGTGGTAGAACTGAACCTTTTTGGAATGCAGTAACAGCATGTTGTGTGGTGATAGCAGCTGCTTTGTCCGGGATTCTCAAGGCTTTTCAGAATAAGTGATTCTCCTAGTGCTGCTGGGAGAACACCAAGTTAGGTGTTGTTTTTGCACCATTCTTATGTTTGGGGAAATGGTAACAGAAAGCTTATCAGATATTTACATGTCCTGAACTGCAAACAGACACATCGATATCTTGATCTGTCTGGTCCGTGATAGTTAAGTTTATCTAGAAAGACTAGTTCCTGCCGCTTTTTCTGCTGCTTGAGACTGCATTCTGAGATGATCCAACTGCTCAATATAGCAAAAAAAAAAAAGCCTCATAGAAAGAGAATAGGTAGGAGTAGAGAAGTAAGGGTTAGGGAGCTGAAGTGGCTTCCTGTGCAGTCAGGCAAACACATAGCTAGTGCGAAGGGTGGGATGTTTTGGCAGCATTTGGCCCTTTGATCACCTCCATCATATGGCTGAGGTATAGCTTATGTGGCTGCACTCTTACGTTAAGAACTATTTTGTTTTCTTGACTCCCTCCTGTGATGAAGGACAGGTCCTTCCTTCCCACTTCTGGCAAGTGTTTCAACTATCTGCTGTGTCTGTTGTGTTCTCTTGTCTGGCTGAACAAGAGGGGGTTAATGAACGTACAGCACTTACCGTGAGACCAGGTCTGGTGGCGGTGCTGGGAGAAAGTGCTGTGATATGACTAATCTTTAGATAACTGCATGCAAAGTGGATAACATCTGAAAAAAACCTTATTCGTCCATGTTTATTTTAAATCTCAGAAAAGGCAAATGTGTATCTGTCTCTCTTCTCTTGGCAGAACCAGCTCCTTGCGAAAGGCTTGCTGTTTATAGAGGAGAAGGTTAAGCTGTGTGAAGGCAAGTATAGTAAGAACCTGTTTTGGAAGGGAGTCATGCTTTGATGTTTGGTCAGACAAGATGGTTTGTGTGTCTGGAAAGCATACAGCCCTTTCTGGTACTGTCTTAGGGTGTCACCTAAAGTTTTGGGAGCCAGGCTACACTGCAGCCCTTGTGGGGCTGAGGGGATGGTGGGCTGTTTCAATAACCACCTAGCTGCAACACTCCCACCAGCCATGTCTTCATTGCCAGAGCAGGAACATGGGTCTCGTGTGGTAGCTGAACGTGGGCTCAAAGCAGTTTTGGGCTGGACATGGATCCTCTTGCAAAACGTCTGAGAGCTGCTTTCTGCCTTTTATTTCTCAATGTGATTTGCAGCTCCATGTAAGCATGATTTTGGTTACTGCATCCTACCTCTGAGAGCTGAACTAGCAGACTTTGTGTAAATTTGAAGAAAAAACAGTCACATGGGTGGGAATGAAGTCCTTCAGGAAAGAAGTTGATCACACATGAAGTTCTGTTCAAACCACTGGGGTACAGGCGCTTGCTACCACAGAGCCTGTGGACGAAGGTCAGCATGGTGCAGCGGCTCTCAGTGTTGGATGTGTGGGAAGCCAGTCATGTTTATTAACGCTTTGCTCAAGCAGAGCAAGCTGTCTGGAGCACGTCTTTATTCAGGACTAGGCTGCTGTTTGATTTGACCCAGTTTTGTAGCCTGTAGGAAAGACCCCTTGCAAATCACCAACCTGCAGTATCTGGGTCCTTAAATACCAACAGACACTTATAATGGCATGTTGGTGGTGCTGGATTCCTCCGCATGGTTCTTCACCAAGTGACTGCTCCACCTAGCCAGCAGGCTGTAGGACTCGGACCCTGAAGGAGCTGTGTGGTTGCCAGCCTCCTGCTTGGTGCGTGCTTCTTCGGCACTGGGCCTGTCAGGGAGGAGAAAGGCAGACTCGTGCATTGTCCTGAACGTGGGCACTCGCCCTGCCACTGCCAGCTCTTCAGAATGAGTGCTGGGCAGCTCATTGTAGGTGTTGTTCTCTGTATTCATAGAAAACTATTCCAATATCTGTTTTAGCATTACAAAAATTGAGTTCCAGTCTGTAATAAGCTGAAAGCTGCCTGGGAGTAGTTTGGAGCTGCTCCAATAGTTTGGGTAAGATGACATTGCCCAGGCAGACAGCAAAACCCTCTTCCTATGCCTCATTTTTTTTGTCCCTGGTTTGAAGTGACTCTGGAGCCACTTTGCCCGTGCAGGCTGGCATGTCTGCAGGAGATGACTCACGGGCACCTTTCTTTCGTAATGTGTAGGCTTGTTGCAGGTCTTGTGGTCACAGCAACAAGAACTTCTTGTGCATGCTTGTTGGTTAGCTCTGTCTTCCTGGAAAATTTCTACTGTCCCAGTCAGTACTCAGAAACGGAATAATGTTCCTGCTGCAAGGCATGGCAATGTTTTACTGTGTCTGTTTTTCAAATCACAGCCTCTTATTTTAACGTGATTTTTCGTTACAAAGTCTGTCAGAATCTCGGTGCCTGCAGGACTTAACGATTTCTTGAAGAAACAAACCATTCACCCTTCCCCTTCAGCAGAAGCAATCTATAACATTTTGTTCTGGCTTCCCACACCAAAGTGTTACAGTCCTGGGGAGGAGGCAGAGGAGGGAAAAATTGAAACATTCAATTAGTCTGTTTCCTGTTGTCTTTTTCACTTACAGTTGGCAGTTCCTGGTAATGGGCGGCTGTTATGGGGGTGTTGGGTAGGTGCTCGACTGCCGGCAGTCCCAGTTTTGAAGCCGGTGTCATACCTGACATGGTGGACCCTCCCTCTGAACCCTCCTGGGGTCGTTGGTGGGCTCTCTGCTCCGAAGGAAACATCTGCAGGATCTTGTTCTACTGCCTCCCTGTTCTCTGGCCGTGTCCTAGGCAGCACAACCCATGGGCAAGCATGGTGAAAGCCCATGTGGGAGTCTCCAGATGGGAAAAGCACAGCGATAAGGCTCCTTTGGGTTGCAGTATTACGTGTGCTCCAGTTCCTCATGGAGGGCCTTTAGTCACCTTGAGGGTGAGCCTTCAAAGCTGTCTTGAGCAGCTGTCTTCCATTACTGCTCCTTGAGTCCTGACTGCTGGTGAGCTCCAGCTGAGGCTCTGTGGAAGGTATCGGGGAAAATCTTTTTGTCAGAAACTTCTGCTGTTAAACCTGGGTCCATATTTGCACCTGAAATTTCTGGGGAAGGTATGTAAAAGTTGAAAAAACTTTGCAAACCTTTGGCCTTTGGGATGGGAAAAATCTCCTGAAAAGCTTAGAGGCTTTGGGCCCAAATGCTGAGGAACACACAGCTCTTTAAGTCAAGCCTATGAACATAACTTAAAATGTCTATTCAAACTATTATGTTCAGTAAAGCATTTTTTGTTAATAATAGGCTTTTGACCACAGTTGTATTCCTGTTATGAGAATCACGAATTGCATAACTTAGTCTGCCTTCATGTCCGATACCCACTTACATTTGGGGATATTTGTCTGAGTCGAAGTCATATGAGGGGTGGCCACAAGTGGATTTCATTCGGGAACGTTCCCAAGTGCCACGTTTGAGAGGGGCACGGTGACTTTGTGGCCTTTTGTCAGGGTCCTGAGTGCTGTGTCTGTGCTTGGGAGTGGGGGGACAGCGGCGGGGGTCAGCCCTTCTAGATGTTCTCCCTGGCTCAGTTGCTGCAGAACAGCTGAGGCTGGCTGTGGCCTGCTGGTTTTTAGATTCAGCTGCTAACTTGAGGCGACGCTCCCACACTGGCTGAGCATGCGGACTGTGAGCTGTGAGATTACACAGTCCTTTGCGGTGGAGTTAAAGCCTCCAACTGATGAGGGGCTTCACTCTTTTGCTGGAATTGGTCTCGTGTTTTGCACAGAGCTGTCTTCTTTGCAGTAAGTGACAGAGCGAGTTATGGTCACACTTGCATCTCTGTCAGTCAAAGTGAAGCTTAGCTGAGTGATGTCTAGTTTTGGACAGAAATTGTGAATGTGAAGGGTGGGTTTGTATCTCTTGTTTGGGGAATTAGAGAGTAGTGGGAAAATTCAACTTGATTTTAGTGTCCCTGTTGCTAAAGCTCTTGGTCCCAATCTGTTTTTGTAGGTGAGGATCGCATTGATGTCCTGTCTGAAATCTGGGATCACTATTTTACAGAGACTCTTCCTACACTCCAGGCAATATTCTACCCGGTCCAGGTAATCTTAATTATAATTCGGTCTTCAGTTAGGTGAGGCAATGTAACTGCAATGTCTGCTAACGGCAAGTGGGAACTTCTCTGCTCTTTGGCCAGCAGCTAAACAGGTCTCAAAACCTTGAAACTAGATCAGGGAGGATGTAGAGTTTGCCCAAGTCAGCATGAACTGTGTAAGAAGGACTGCTAAAATCTACTGGGCCAATACAGTGTTTTGGGCTGAATTTATTCCCAATTGTCTACCCTCTGTCTGTGCTTAGCTAAGCTTAAACACTGAAACTATTGGACTATACCTTGTCTAGGCTGAAGCTCTGGGTCATTTGTATTTATAGTTCTTCCTTTTTTAAATACCTGGGACTCTCTTGGTGCAAACGACAACATTGACAACTTGTCTTTAGAGGGACTAGTCTGAAGACTAGATCAGGAGCACAGGTGTTTAACTCACCCTACCTACTTTTGGAGGGCTTATGTCCCAGCTGTGCCTTTGGAAAATCCTCTGCTGGGTTTTTTGAGGGGGACAAGTAAACCTGCGGGTAGAGGACAAATGAAAAACTTTTGGTAAGACCTGTTTACACTGGGTATTTTGAAAGCTGAGTATCCCATCCAAAGTGTTAGTCTGTGTAATGTTTTAATATAGTTTTAGTCAGGGTTTCCATATAAGCTGTCTAGTTACCTCCCCAGCCTATTTTGATCTTTTCTTCCATCAGAGGAAAAGAAAAACGTACCTTATGAGGAGACTGACATTCTTGGAAATGCTGGGCTCCTCCTTTTGACTTTTGCCTCTTCCACAAGACATACTTTCCAGAGACTTTAAAAATTATTTTTCCCTTGTATTGTTTGAAAGGCAGCAGGTAAAGTTCAAAGGTTGGCCTTTTCCTCTAATCCTGCTAAAGCTGGCATTTCCTAAAAGGGAAAGGACTTCTGTAAAGACAGGCACTAACCTTTCTACTGTGTTTGTTTTTATTCCTTCCTTGCTGCAGATGCTTAAAGGTAGGTGTTTGGCAGGCAAAACTGCTTGATTATAATATCCTCTCTTTCTCTCCTTTTGCAATGAATTTTCAGTCAAGGAGTGACCTAATCTGTTTAAGCAAGGATTTGTCTGCACTGCAGCTACCTGTGGACTGTGGAAACAGTTGAGCTATCTGTGTGTCACACCCACTGATGTTAATAATTCTGCCACTTATCAGAAAAATCTACTCCCCTGCCATTAAACGTCTCTAATGAGAAACTGAACAAAAGTTGCTGCACAGTGGGTGCCGTTTTTGGAAGTAATGTGGTGGTAGTGGTGAAAGCGTGACTATGGGATGTTGAGAGTCTTTGAAAGCATAAATTTCTTACTGTATTTGTCTTGTCACAGTATCTGAGTCACTCAAAAATATTTCGTAGAAGCTGTGATGTTAGGGAAGTATTGCCATTTTACGGATGAGGAACTGAAAGGTAACAGCATATTTAAAACTTTGTAGACACTCAAGTCCTACACAAATGTATGGATTTTAACTGCCTAAATGCATCCAAGACTCTAAGTAAGCTGCCCTAGGCTACAACAGGGAGAGTTGCTGGTGCAGCAAGAAAGAAGAAATTGCTCTTATCCCAGGCCAGTGCCCTAGTAGCAAGATTGGGCTCTTCCTACAAACAAGGAGCTGCATGTACCTATTTACACAGCGTGTCACCACATGTGAAGAGAGCTCATCTAGCAACTCTCTTTCACCAAGTAACACTTCTTCATGTGCTGCTCCAATAGATGGGAAAGCCAATTTGTTGTTGGTTCCCCATCCTTCACCGCAAATGTCAGCATGGTTATTTGGTTGTGCTTTTCTGTCATCCCAGCAGCTGCCCATTCAGAATGAAAGTAAGTGAGCCAAATGTGTGAGCGTATGTTACTGAAGGTAATAACTAAAAGTAACTTCCTATATCTGAGCTAAGTTTAAGCCCGAGGCTCATAGCTGTTGCAGAAATATGACCTTTAAGCAGCCAAGTTGGTTAAATTGCCGTACAGAGGGAAACTATGTAAACAGGTCACTGGCTTTCGTATAGTTGCAGCTGTTGATGTAGCTACTTTGTGCGGAAAAAAAATAGCAAATCTTGTTTTGTTTGGCACAGCAAGATGTTTGGCTTTTGAAATGGGGTATGAAGTTAATGGGACTGAACTGCATGGTATAAATAAAAAGTACGCGGCTGCTGAAATATGGTTCAGAGATACGTACCGGTCTTTTCTACATCTCCACGTTTCCAAACACGCAGTGATAGTTGAAAACAGCAAAGTGCTTTTATTATGGCTAAGCTGCCCCCCAGACTTTTTGCTTTAATTTGTATTTACATATTGATGATGCTGTTAATTACAACATTAAACCCATTATGAATTAATGATTAACTGTTGTTAATTCCTTCCAGCTAAATATTTGCCATGTTGAGTGTGTTATGGAGACCATAAAACGGTTCCCAAACAGACTGTGGGGCAGAGATTAACGTACTGGGAAGAACAAGGGAAACTCTTCAGGCTGGAAAGTGCTGGGCAGGGCTGGGAGGAAAATTTCTGCTGCTAAGCTGCAGTGGAGCAAGAGAAAGTCATGTGGATGTTAAGCATAGCAGAGGGAAAGGCAGTAACACCAGAATGTCAAATGGAGTCCAACTGTGTTTAAATATGCTGAGAAATATTACAACATCTTCATCTGTTAAACCTGCTCACTTGTGTTGGTGTAAAAAAGTGACTGGGAGGACACAGAGCGCCTTGTGGTGGAAATCAAAGCTGTTGCTTTTTTTAATGATGCTTGATACAAGCAGACTCGCTAGGTTTGCAGTAGCCTAAATCCTAAAACCTGTAATGGACTGAACTGCGGATTTTTGTTGTATCAGCAAGGTCTGAAGTGCAGACGTTGAGCAAAAAGAGGATCCAACACAGACCAGAGGTGGATCTGCAGCTCTGAGTGGCAAAAGCATGAGCTGCATCCTGGGCTTTGGATGTTTGTGACCAAATTGGATGGCAGTTGGGTTTCCTGAATACGTAGTCTTTTGGTGACATACAGGCCCATTTTTGGCTTCACTACAAACCTGGTGGCACCTCAGATGAGGCGTTACTCATTTCAGAATTCGTGTGGGATAGAGACTGGCAGGGAAGCAACCAGAGTACCAAGAACCCTCAGCCTAAGCAGCTGGGGGGTGCTTTGCCACAGCAGCAATGGGCAGGATAGACCCTTTCTGTCTGTGTGCATACGTGTGTTGGTGCAATGCTAACACGTCCCTTTACCAACTCTTGGATTTTGCCTTCTGTGTTTTTTAGGGTCAGGAGTTGACTATCCGTCAGATTGCTCTTCTTGGCTTCAGAGACTTGGTCTTGCTGAAAGTAAAGTTGGAAGAAATTCTTCCTCTGGTCCAGACAAAGCTCCCAGCTTCCATTGTCCAGATGCTGTTAATTCTGCAGGTGGGGAGCCTCTTTTCTTCATCTGACTCCACTTGGGTATCTCAACCTCACTGAGCTAATACGAGCCCTGGAAAGGAGGAGGGGGAGGCTAGAGGGTGTGACGAAGGCGAAGTGAGGTGTGCTTATTTGGGAGCAGTAAATGTAGAAAAGAGAGCTGTATTCGAATGTCCTGAGCCTTCCTGGGAACAGGCAAGGATGTCGCTGTGAAAGGGCTGAGTTTTGCTCTTTGGTGTTTGTATTTTTCTTGATACCTCTCCTCCCCAGCTAAGAATAGCCTCAGGACTCTTTTTTTTCACATAAATTTTCATCTCCCAGCTTCTCTGAATGCCTCTCTGTGCCCTAGTTCTCCTGGTTTCTCAGCTTTGCAATGACAGGGTGAGCCTCCATCACAGAGAATTTGAATGAGCTGTGGCTGCTGGCTGCTGCCTGGGATGCTTAGCAGTGCCCATGAGAGAAGGAATACCTTTGGGCAGCAGGCAAAACGCTATACATCTTCCAAAGGCCTCTCCCAAGAGACACAGACCTTCTGTGAGGACTATTCTCTTTATCCAGACCTCAAGAGAATATTTTCCAAGCATGCCAAACACAGCCAAGTATACCAGCCCTTTTATCTGTTTATATCACCCAGCCTCGCAGTCCTGCAAAACACCATATTACAGGTGGCTGTTTGGGTTCCTCTCACTTTTATTTCTTTTCCAATAATATATCTTGTAATGAGTGGTGGGGAATGAAACTTTCTTAAGTACAATCAAAATTGCAAGGTGGCTAAGCTGGTGTTTCTGTGTGAGTTCTCGCTGTTCTGATGTTCCCAGTGACCAAGACGGTAATAGCAGGAGATACTAAAGTGCTGGCTCAATTTCCCTGAAATATTTTAATAAAAGAATCTTGAGGGCAAAGAGGGTCTCAAAGTGACATATTTCAGAAAGAAAAGCTTATTGAGGCTTTGCAGGAAGTGAAGTCTGTGAACGGTTTCTGAAATGGCTGTTAAATTGGTTAGTGTTATCTACCATCTTCACAGCTGTACGCTGAACTACAAAGGGTGCTTTTCCTGCAGTTCTGCCTGGGAAAAGAGCAGCGCTTTGCCCAAGGTGTGTTAAGGCTTTTCTGCAATGAGAAGTTTCCTGGTTGCACTGGTATCGCTGCAGTTACACTGTGCAAATCCTCAGTGTGAGCGTACCTTGTACCTTCCTATCCCTTCATCAGAGAAACACAGCAAGCGGCTTGACGTCCATAGGGTTATGGCTATGACTTCAACACGGAGGTTGACCTGAATGGCCCCCGAACCTCCATTTGGGCTTATCGGCTATGCTCCTCCAAATGGTCTGCCGATACGGTTGGGATATTCCAGTGCAGAGATGTTTGACAGACCCCTGGCTTCACTCAAAACCTCACTCTAAACTACGTAAGGGTAATGTGGACTTTTTATATTTGAATTTCAGAGTGTCCATGAGCCTGCTGGCCCCAGTGAGGGCTACCTGCATCTGGAAGAACTGGTCAAGCAGGTGGTGTCACCGTACTTGGGTTTGTGTGAGGATCACAGCTTCTCTGGTAGCACCTGCGTGCTTGGTAAGACATGCACATTGTACAGAAGTTCTTGCTGGGCTACACAGGTTGGTTAACGTGAGGCAGTGCACATTTGTGCTAGAAAACGAGACAGCGTGTGGCTCCACAAGAGGCAAAAAACGAAGGCTAGAACACCCTTGAGAAGGTCCTGATAAACATGTTTCTGAATTTTTGTGATGGGCTTTTTATTTTCCATGACTGAGTGAACTATTACTGCCCCACCGCTGCACGCACACACACGTGTAAAGTCTCCCCTCTCTCTGGAGATGGGCTGGATTTTAAAACTCCCTGGTCCATGCCTGATGTACAGCTCTTACCTTGGTGGGAGACTGTGCCTGGTCCCTTGCTGCCTGCTCTCTGTCCCTGCTTGCTACCCCGCTTCGGGTGCCTGGATTCCCAAGCTCACTGCTGCATCAGCCAGCCTTCGTAAACAGTGAAACTGTTGGATGCTCGTTCTGAGGGATGACAGGGGTTTTGTGCATGGAGTGTTCCTTCCATCTGAGGGCTCTTTTTAAAAAAAAAATACAAAAAAACTGTGTTTAAACTGGGGATAAATGGGTCTAGGTGAGAGAACTGGCACTTCACTTCCGGAAGGGGATGCTTATAATGGAAAACTACTCCACACATGATCCCAGGAGCTCTGCTTATATGCATGGCCAACCAGAAGAGATTGGCTAGCTAAGAAACGGACACAGTGATGCTGATTTGATAGTCAAGAGGATTTAAGTAGAACAAGTGAAGAAAGCTCCAGTCTCCCTCTGTTTTCATAAGCTTTAGCCTTTGCTTCAATGTAAATTGTAGCAAGCTGGAGACACAAAACCTGTCTTGTAGAACACCTTAGCAGCACAGGGGAAAAGATGTTCTTGTGGTAGAAGGACTTAGCAGGACTCAGATGATCTGTGCCTGTAACACGCTCATGGCACCACTTTAGGCGAACTGTGGCTCAGGGTTCTTGTTCTTGCAGTTGGTTGTTGGGCAGTGAAGTATCTTTTATGTGAGTGAACATGGTTTTGCAGTTCAGCATTGATTTTCAGACCTGATGCTGAGGCTAAATCCAGACCACATTCCTCTGTAAAAGTTGAGCTTTGACAGATTGTTTTGCTGTTTATGGACATCCGCATGCTGCTGGGCTGGTTTGCAAGGTAGCTGCCTGACCGGTACTGAAGTTTCTGGCCATTCTGGATTTCCGCCAACTGAACAAGGCATTAGTGTCATTAAAAAAAAAAAATTATCACATGAACTGACCTTGTAAAGTTTATGATGTGCCTTAAAATCATTGTATTTACTTTGATTTTAGCTGTCATTTATTTGTGTGTATATCCAGCGTGGCCTTTTGCCCCTGCTCCACCCTGTGCTCAGCGGGAGGAAAGAAAGAACTTGTGTTACAAGCTCTTACAGCTGCAACTTCAGGAAAAACATTTGCTGGTGGGGAGAGGACAAAGAATTCTTCTAACTTCTTCCACTGAGCACCACCAGCTCTCTCACATGTGCTTCCAACACACATTTCACTGGAGTGCTACTCATTTTGCTGCGACGGCAGGGTACTGGACCATTCCTGTCCTGCTGTGAAGCTGGGTAATTCCTGTGGCTACATCAGATAAAATTTGAGCACTTTGTCCTTTGACCTCTCTAGGTTATTTCACACCACCACCACCTTCCTCCTCCTCCCTCGGTCCCAACTGCTGTGAAATTTTATGGTCAGGGATTGACGCAGCTGAAGGTCTAGGTTATCAAAGGCACTCAGATGCTCAAACAGTTGGTTTTCCAGGTCCACCAGTGAAGTGCTAGCATTGTCCTGGTTGGTGGGTAAGACTGCCGTAAGAGGAGTCTGAGGGTATTTTTTGATAATTTTCAAAACTGGCCTTTTCTGTTGCTTAATTAACTCTTCTGCTGTCTACTACAGTGTTCCACATTCAGCTGTATCTGGAACACTGTCTGAGCAGCACCCTTATCTCAAAAGGTCATGATGGCAAGAAGACTATGGTAAAATGCTGCTATTTCTGGGACAGAGAGCAGCAGCTTGACTGTAGCAGAACAGGAGGGAGGAGAAGAGTTGAAGTTCAGTTTCTCCAGACTGAAGTACGCACTGGGGATAAACAGCTATCGATTGCTTGCCTGCTTAAAGAACATGCCACGTGAATGCTGACTAATTGTGGGTCTACTTTCAGCATCAATCTACTCACAGTGGTAACCAGCTGTGTGGTTTAGGTGAGCAGCAGCACGAGCCCCAGTGCACACTGCCTGCTCGAGTCTGGGCACAGCTCATTGCAGGGTGTCTCGGTTACAGTAGTTACTTCAGTACAGTAAAACTCAGGACCTTTACTTTATTTTTGCTCTCAGGAGGCAGACAGTGCTCCTGTTTTCACACTGATATAGGTCTGAGGGCAAGAATGTGGTCTTCTGAATTACTGTCGGTGTTTCCTTCTATGCCCGCAGGTTTTTACCATCTCCCCATGCAGCTTCTCATTATAGTCAAAAGCTGAATGATGTCAGGCTTTGAAACACTGATACATGCATCAGCTCTGTGCAGTCTGCTCGGCAGCGAGTGTGTGTACGTACACACCCATGCAAACGTGTACACAAGTACATACATCGTGTCTAAGCTGGTGAAGTGATGAATACCGACTAGCTGGATCGCAAACTACCAATGCAGCTGGTGATACTAGTTGACCGTTTTACCACAGCAGCTAAGGAGATGACAGAAAAGGACCTCAGGATCTCCAGCGTCGCCAGGCTGGGCAGGAATAATTTTACATTGTTGTTTCTTATATTATGCTTGCTCTTAGTGGACTTTAATCTCTCAAGTCATCAGACTTGGCTCTTTCAGCAGCACTAAAAGTTTACACACAAAACTGGCACTTTTTTCTCATGGGAATACTTTTATTTATCTGTTAGGCGAACATCAGGCCATGGCCATGGTTTTTCTTTTTCCTGTGTATCCTGGCTTTTTGGGAAGGGCTGCAAGCTCTCCCTGTTTAAATGAAGCATGTTTTAATTTTTAATGTGTTGTATAGGAACAGAGAAGAACCAAGATTCACCCCTTCCCTACAAAATCTGCAGCTGTGGAGTCTGGAAAATTGGCAGCGTTTTGCACTGCTCAGTTCAATTCAATCATCTCCTCAGACCTCTCTAGGTCACTAAGACACCTCTGCACAGCTGAAGCCACTGCAGGATAGACTTAATGTAAATATTAAATCATGGGATGAGGGAGTGCAATGAGCCATTACCTGAAAAGGCTACTGAGCTCTCTTACTCCTCACAGCCCAAGCGCTTAAGCAGCTCTTAAAGGTGTCCAACTTCCTAATGGAGACAGGAGATGGACACCTAAATGCATTTAAAGGCCTCAGCCTAGGTTGGTCACATTGCAAGTATATAACTACCTCCACCATGGGCTTCTCTCTCTTGGTATCAATACTTTGTTCACAGGAGTCAGAAATTAAGAAGCCCTGATAAGTATTGGTGAGGGTGGAGAAGCAGCTACTGCTAATCACACCGGTGTTATTTCGGTCTTGTCTGTGCCAGGGTAACTTCCCAAGAGCCAGGCACGGGCAGCAGCAGAACGCTGATGCAGTGTGCGGGGTTTGGTGGTGCTGGTGCTGTGCTAGGATGCTCGCTGGCTGGTGCCCCGCCTGCCGCTGCCGGCCGGCGCGCA